CTCAGCCTAAGACCCAGGGCCCCGCCTGCCCCCCACTCAGCCTAAGATCCAGGGCCCCGCCTATACCTCATTCAGCCTGACTCCGGGCTTCAGGTTCCCCTATAAGCAGATGGGGCCAGAGAGGTGAGAGGTGACAGGTGGGGAGAGTTCACCAGAGTGGCAGCCCACAGTGCAGCGATACCAGCAAATCTGGGTTCAAACCCCGGCTCACCACATCCCAGCAGAGGGAGCCCTGGACAAGTCACGGAATGACCCACACCTCGGGTTTCCTCTCTGTAACACTGTCCACCCTTCGGGGGGACGGGCTGTGAAGGAAAACACAGTAGGTCCTTAGCACAGGGCCTGGTCCACAGCCGGCACTCGATATGTAACAGGGCTGTTACTTGCAGCATTTTCCAAAGTTTATTCTTTGGAACCCAACTTCCTAAATGCACCCCAGGAAAAAGAGGACCATGGCTAAACGAGCATGAGGGAGACCTCGTGGCGTGGCCATCCTGGGGAGGCCAGGACACAGGGGCAGACGCAGGCTCTGAGAAGTCCTGCAGTGAAAGGTCAGCGGCTGGTTTAATCCAGGGTCTCCTAAACACATTTGGCTTGGAACCGTTTTGTCCCCTCAGCCTGTTTCAGAGTTGCAGCCCACAGGAAGTGCTGCCAAAATGCACCGGACATTCTAGGCATCCAGATTTCCACATGCTCTATCTTCCCTCCAGCACTCCAGTCCTTCCAGGATCCCAGGACAGGGGATGAGGAGGGTGACTCCTCTTGACCGAGATGCTAGCAGGGCCTTCTTTCTCGGGTCTGTCGCTGATGGCTGTGTCCAGCTGTGCCCCCACCCATGCTGGCCCCGGACCAGGCACTACCCCTCGGCCATCACGTACCAGATGCATATCTCAATGCTTGGTCAAAAATCCAGGTCCCTGAATACCGGCTTCGCACAGATCCACCGTGGGGGCTGCCTTCGGGCGCTTTTCCATCTGAATTACGTAAGAAATCAGAAAGAGCCCTTAAAGTTGGAGAATGCCTGGGAGGTTAGGGAAGGGGCAAAGTTGGCTGGGGAGGGGCTCTGAGTCTAGCGTTGGCCAGGTACCTGTGATTTGAGGGCCTCAGTCTCCCCAGCTGCCTTTTAAGAAGCGTGGACAAGATCACACTGCCTACCTCTTCATTAAAAACCTTGTGCTGGCCACGGGCCAACAGCTCCCTGAAGTTTTGTGTTTTCTCTGTATTCTGATTCATCATACGATCAGAACATACAATTTCTACCCAAAAACCATCCGGCATAATGACCCTCCAAGGAGATGGGCCCCACGGGTGCAGTGCCCATGTATCCCCCTGGCCTTTGACCACCGCAGACCCAGACTGATGCCGTGGGGCGAGGAGGGCCTTCTCGGGAACTCAGCTCAGACAGTCCCCTGCCCCAACGCCTGACTCCCTGCCCAGCACACTTCCCCTTCTGCTCATCCCAGCCACTTCTTTCCTGTAGGAACCATGGCTGTCACCAACACCGCCTGTCTGGGTTCACTTCATCCACAATGTGTCCATGCAGACGGACCTCTGCCCCAAGGTGAGGCAGCAGAGGCTAGGGCAGGTGTGTGCAGCATCGAGCCCAGTTCATGCAGCCAGCTAGTGGGCTGGGGGTCCTGGCTCAGGGGCTTCTCACACCAGCTCCATTCATCCTCACAATTCCAGCAGGTAAAGGTGATTATTATCCCCACTTTTCAGAAGAGGAAAGTGAGGACCAGAGGGGCAACACATAACATCAGAGGTCGGTCAGATCTGATTTGCTCCCAAGCCAAGCAACTAGCCTCTTGGAAAGCACCATGAAGAAATGGTGCTTGTGAGTTGCATGCAGTGAATCCCAGCATTTTGGGGGGCCAAGGTAGGCAGATCATCTGAGTTCATGAGTTCAAGACCAGCCTGGGCAACATAGTGAGACCCTCATCTCTACAGAAAATACAAATAATACAGGTGCAGTATCCTCCTGTAGTCCTAGCTACTTGGGAGGCTGAGGTGAGAAGATCACTTGAGCCCCAGAGATGGAGGCTGCAGTGAGCTGTGATCACGCCACTGTACTCCAGCCCGGGCAACAGAGTAAAATCCTATCTCAAATAAGAAAGAGAGAGAAAGGAAGGAAGGAAAGAAGTGAGGGAGGGAACCTTTAATGATAACCAAGCACACCAGGTCTCATTTCTATCCACCATTTTCCCAGAAGTCCTCATGAGGCTGGCAATGCAACATCCATTACAAGGATGAGCATAAGGCTCTAGCAGCTCAGCTAGGGGCTGGCAAGGAACTGGGCTTAAAGTAGGCTTTGGGGATCCAGAACCATGTTACTGCCACCATGCCAGGTCACCTACTGGATGCCAAGTGAGTCGTGTGTTCCTTTCAGTCATGGCACTTTCCTTAAATGCTACAGAGTGGCAGAGCCCCCTACTATGTCTGATGCTGCCACAAGGACTCCCGAGAGTCCTTTATTGAGAGCCCTGGGACTGCTGCCAGGGATAGCTGGCAGGGCTAGCCAGCACACAGGAGGCAGGAGCAGACTTTTCCTCTCCCCATTCCTGCTAGCACAAGTGATGCAACAGGAATCCGCAGTTGCCATCCCATCAAATCTGAGTTCACAGCTCCCACTGAGCACTTTCCCAAAACACCTGGCTTAGCTCCCTCCCAGAGCATCTGACAGATCAGCTAAAGCCAGGGGTCTAGTTCCTGACATCACAGAGGGAGACGCTGGGAGTGCCTAGGAAAGGATGTAGGCTTCTGAGAAAGAACGTGGGGTAGCAACCCTTTGCTAGGTCCAGAGAAGCTCAGGCGCCTTTCAGGATTCAAAAAACGCAACAAGATAGAAATCCAAAGCAGGTGAATGAGAGAAGAAAACACCAGGGTAGGGACAGAAGGCTGTTTCCTTACAATGGGCAGTCCATGTTTAGCCTGGAGCATCTGGGGAGCTGCTGTTCAGAGAACAGATGCTTAGGAATGCCCAGCCCTCTATGTTCAAACAGGCAACAGGAGCTGGGTCCAGGGCTTGCCAAAGGACAGGGATCTGAGTGGGGAAGTCATGGACAAGTACGTTTCCTGAGGATCTGGGGCTTGGCCTCAGACCAAATGTCCTCTGGAGAAGGGACTTCCAAGTGAGGCACAAATCTCCTGGGAGTGTGCGGCAGCTGCCCAGGGGGTAAGCAGGTCCACGCAGCCTTAAGAGATTCATCAGCTTCTAAATGTGTTCTTTCCTCAAATCAGTGTGCCAGAGAACCTGGCAGGTGGGAGGCCCCACTTGCTGGCTCTTCCCACTCTCACCTTCACCCTTCTGCCACGTTACAAACAAAAGACGATCCTTTCACCCACCGCTAATCCTGCCACAGTGCCTGAGTGCCCCAAGAGATGAAAACCTCAGGGCTCCAAGCAAAGAGGTGACCCCACCACACCGGTGCCAGGCTCAGAAAGTGAGTGGATCTAATGACCGGGAACGACTCCTTTTTCGAATCGGGTGATTTCCAATTCTTTGCTCTCAACAAAACTGAAGGAGGATCTAATGGAGTTGTCAGGCAAGAGACCATTAAAAATATTGTCTGATGATAGACCCCCGTGTGATTTCTGGCATACGACTTGGAAGGAGTTCAAAGAATTGAGTGACACTGTAAAACAAAACTCTCTCCATTGCCAGCTCCTTATTTATGTGAATGAGAGCTTTCAAAGCACTTAGACCTACAAAAACCAAAAGATAGGAATTAAATTAAAGCTGAATCTTGTCTCCTTCTAGCAATAAGAAATATTAATTCACAGATATGGGAGCCAACTGAGAAAGAAATGAAGCCCTATCCATTTCATTAAGAGATGTGTTTTCAATAATTTTTTACTTTTACATTTACTATTTACCTAAATTTGGTTTTGATGAATTGTATGCTAATAACAAGTCAATCTGGAAAAAAATGTTGGAGAATATAGAGCTTTATGATCCCAGGAAATTTTTTTTTAAAGAAATTTCAATTTCAATTTATGTACATCTTGTTACGGCAGATGAGTATGAAACAGTGATCAATAAAAGACTTTCAAGCATAAAAAAATATATTTTACATTAGGATAAAATCCTGTGGGGGCAGTGGACTGGAAATATGAGCTCAAGGAGAAAAAGGAAAGATGTAAAATTTCTGACTGTTAAAGATAGGCTTGTTTATATGTTTCTGAAGTGATGACGGTAGGTATCAAACAGTGGTGGTGTTTGGATTCCCTTGGATACGTTTTGAAAATTGGTTCACAGTTTTATTTCCAAAATGCCACCTTTTTTTTTTTTTTAACACAGTATCACAATATCCTGGAAATTATATCCTTTGCAATGATTTAAACTTTGGATAAAAATGTTAGATGTCAACTTAAACATGTGAAAAAGAAGATACAGTTTTCAAAATTCTTTTAGGAGGTGCTGAGCAAAAACAAACGTTTGAAATCCTTGGCCTTTTAGGTTCCTGTCACTCTAGAGGTAATCAGTGTCCTAGAGATATCAATGTCCTGAGGTTTCAGCTAACAGTAGCGGTACTGGTTTTATGTTTTTTTGTCCCGTTAAAAACACCTGCATGCCTATTACTTCCCTCTGCCCCCAACAATTCTACTGGAAAGAGGTGCAGGCTTTGTTCTACCTACTGGTCATTCAAGACACGGTGGCTTAGAGAAGTTAAGGGGCTTATCCAAGGCCCCACAGTAGGGTAAACCCAGAGCTCTTGACTTACAGCCTGGGGGCCCTTTCTAACAGGGACTCTCCAGCCCTTCAGACCACAGGAGGAAGCGTCAGCAGCAGAGACAGGATGCGCCTGGGAGAGTGGCCAGAACGCCTCCTTTCCGAGTGGCTGCAGCAAAGAGCTGAGAGTTGGTTCTGGCAGGCTCTCGTGTGAGGCCCTGCCAACAACCTATTGAAACAGGAAACTAACTATCAGCTGGCAGATGAATCAGGACCTGGCACCTACGCTGCCTGGGTCTGTCACAGGCTGAAACCCACGTGGCTGCGTCTGAATGACTGTCAAGCTCCTCTGCTGCTTCTTCCAGCGCCACAGCCTGGCTGCTGCCTCCTGGCTGGAGCTCCTTCCAACTTCCTGGGCCCCCCCGGGCTGCCCTGTGTGTGTGAAAACACCTCTGTACCTTGATCCTGAAAGCTCGCTGCCTAGAAACAGCCTTGCAGGACCCAGTCTCCTATCTGTCTGATCCTTGACTCTCCCTCCGGCACTTTGTCCAGTGACCCTCCCTGATCACCTATATGAGGACAAGGAACTCACTCCTTCACAGGCACACGTCCAGCAGTTCCCATGATCACAGAAAGTCCTTCCTTTTACTGAGCTGAAATCCCCTCCTGGAGACTTCTCCGTATTGGCTGGGACACCCTGGAATGCATCTGCTCCATATGCCCCTTGCAAAATGTTCTAAGTTGTGAGTATTTAGATTCCATCACCCTCCCCCTCATGCCTCCACTAACCCCAGTCTCCTCCTAACCCAGGACATACATCCCTTAGCTCCTCCATGGAGCTCTTCTCTGCACCGAGCTGACTCTCTGGGGAAGGACCCAGTGGGTCCCCGTTCCTCATTTGAAGAGAATCAAGTCTGGGCCACTCGTTCTCTCCACGGTCTCCTGCACTGCCACTGCGGAAGCTCGGTAAGTCTCGGGTCTCCGGCCCCTACAGCTCTCCCTGGACTGCCTTGTTAGTAACCACCTCAGGATTAAGGACCACAGCCCGGGGAGGAGCACCCACTGCTTGACAGTACACCTGGACCACCACGATGGGATGCGGGCATCCTTCTCTCTTAGAGCCAGGAAATGGTCTGTGGGCTGGATGCCCTGATTCTTATAAAGCCAACTTGCCTTATCTTCATCGAGGACAAGAATGGCAAGCAGGTTTCCACTTCTAATTTTTCAGTTTTAGCTGACTGGAAGAGACCTCTTGCTGTACTGTTGAGAAGGATTCTGAGGAGCACTGTTGGACAATGTGCAGTC